TATATCTAGAGCTATAGATAAAATCTCCCTAAAGCCATCATGCATAAACACAATGAAACAGTTTCAATTCCTTAGCAAAAAGAATATGTTCTAGCTAGGAGATGAGACAGAGGCTCTTTTCCCCCTACATCAAAACTAAAAGGCATCCCACTTACAGATACTTTAGTATCCAAGCTGCTTCTACAGAAGAATGGGGGAGGCGGGAATAAAACTTTGGCTCTTCATCTGGAACATTTCCATGTTTTCAACATGCAGATTGTTGCATAAACTCAAGGAGCTCTCTCAGGCACGTGTTTCTGCCAGCCACTCCTTCGAAACCACATCTCTGATAATCTGCTTGCTTAAATGTACATAGCTGTAGGACAGACCAGTCATGAGCCTGATGACATTCCAAAGTCCTAGACTAACAACTTAGGGCACCACGGGTTCTTTCACTTTGCTCTGGACAACAAGGGAGAAAAACAGGTACACATGGTAGCATGAGCAACACTGCAATACACCAAAACTGGGAAGAAACTGAAGTGGTTTGAAAGTCACTGCACTGGTCTTCTGACTCATCAGACATTAACAAAGACATTCTTGGAACCTGTACTCTATCTGGCCATCAGCAAAGTCACCATTCATGGTCTTCCAAGAGTTACATCCTTTCAGTTGCTTCCAGCATACCTTGAAGCCCTTTCCCCACTAGATTTATTCCATGTTTGGGATTCCCCCTGCACTAAATTAAGATGCAACATTCTTCTTTAAGGCATTTTTGGGAACTTTTTTGTAGTCAGATGCATTTCCCCCCCCCGTGCTAGAACTATTCTCCAGAATAGTTGTTAGAGCATTTGATCCAATTTATATCACCTGCCTATAAAGACACTGATAGTCCTCTCCAGAAACAACTTTTAGCATTGCAAAGTACTGCACACACTCTCCATGAATAACACAGAAACCACACAGGCTTCATAAAAGGCTCAAGATAGTGCACTTTTTGTGCATTCTTATGCACTATAGAGAGCAGAGTACTACTACTCTTGCTCAGGAGAAAGCTTGTCTTTCCTTCATGTTAGGCTGTACCATGAGAGAAAAAGGAATAAAAAGCAACAGAAATGCATGGCAGTACAAAAGGGCTAATTTGCACACTCAGTTCACCACTTTTTTTTCCACCATTATGCATCTTGGATCTTTCAAATTGAAGGAAGGAGCAAACTGCCTATATTCCCACAAGAGAAAGAAAAGCTCTCCCCTGCAGCTAATATAATAAAGTAAGTGCCTGGGCATTACAATCTGAGGTTATGCTAGGTGGATGCCTTTCCTAGCAACTGCAAACACTCTTCTGCTAACTCCAAGCTTCATGTCAGAATCACCAAATCCTTGAGAAACAACCCATTGATTTGTTAGTAAAATAACCCTCAGCATCCCATTTATCATTGTCTTTCTGACTAATACTGGATCATGAGTCATCACCCAATGAAAGTATCTATTGCATATAGTTACTAATAATTATAACATCTGAATTCTTAAGCAGGTATGTGATGCCACTGAAGTCTCACCATTATTGGTCTCCAGAGCTCCGACAATCAAATGGTGCTGTCTTTCAGACTGCCACACAAAACTCTCTGGGATAGTTGCTGGTTAAGGCTCCTGACAAGTAATTTATCTTCACTACAATGCTGTGGACAAACCAGAATCTACAAACAAGAGACTTTATTACTGCCTTTTCCTTCATATACCACCATCTGCTAATGCCCAGGACATCTGACAAAGGCTGGCAGCAAATGAATTATTTCATGTTTAAGTCCAGAATTGCCATTGCTTGAAAAGAAAAAGAAGGAAAGGTGTTGAGAAAGTGAGAAATCAGGGACAAGAAAAATCTGACCATTAAGTTACTGGTTTAGTGTGCTTGGGCCTGGATCTCAAGTGTCATTTGTCTCAGGCAAGCATATTTATCACTGAGTTTCACTCTCAGCCTTTGTCCTATTGGAAACTCTCAGCCTTTTTCCTATTGAAGCTCCTCTACCTTAGAAAGTACCCACACTACTTATTTGGCAAGTCAGATAAGGCAGTCAGAAATGGCCTACTGCCCTTCTGGCACAGCTGCCTTCTCTGCATCATGGAAAAGCCATTCTGGGCCCAAGGCTTACTTTTTCTAGCAGCATTGAATCATCTCCATATAAAAAAGAGTTGAAGTTCTTTTTAAGCAGCTCCACATTTGCTGTGGGTTCTGTCACTTTTCTTCCCAAATCACAGCCAATCAATAAAGTTGCCAGAAAAACTGAAGTCTTCTCTGGAAGGACAGCAGCAGCTCAGCAGTTGAAGGTGTAGGCGGGGATCACTGTCTTGCCCTGTGCCTGCTTATTATGTAAGGGCACATTTTGTTCTGTTGGGGCTACAAAACTCTCCACTGGCACGCCAGTTACTGAAGACTCAGAGTGCTACTCTTCCCACGACTGTCATGGGAATGTGTGCTTCATGTTTCCCAGAGCTCCAAAGAAGCTGCCACACATAGACTCTTCATCCAAAAAGCCACCACAGTAACTTAATAGCTGTGAAAAAGCTACAGACGTCGTACAGAAGGATTTCTTTGCTTAAAAATACTGAAGTGAGTACACACTTAGTGCCCTGACAGATAGACTTAACTACACAACCATTTAACACCCATACCGAGGGGGGGGAAAGGGTATTCCCTGGCTTCCCAGTGCTATTCTGACTACCTGGCAACAACTCCACCCAATGTGCATGACAGGACAGCTAGTAGTACACAGCACCACTGGAAATACTCTTGGGACAATGCACATGTGTTCGGTTGAGTAACATCACATTCTCACAGCACCTTATATGCAGAGAGATGGAGAGGCAATTCCCACTACACCTTCTGCAAACCACAAGCAGACAGAACCTGAACTATCCACTTATTATTTATGCCACTTTGTTTCTTTTTGGACAAGCATTATCATTACTATTAATTACACATATTGCAGTAATGCCCAGCTGCTCTTTCTAAATGAAGCCGGCACTTAGTTCTATCAGCGCAAGTTAATGACATTCATTACAGCTTGACCTTACCTTCCAGTCTGCATGCATATCTCTCATCTGCACATCCTTCCACAACGTATGCCACAAAGGAGCAAGTTCAGCACCCATAACTTTCCTGTCTGAGCCTGTATTTCATGGTATGTCTAAGTTAATTCTACCTCTAGGTCAGCCCAAATCTGCTGGCACTAACACAAAAGAGTGAAGTCTTTGACCTGTTATAGAATCAGCTAAATGCACCACTCAAATATGCTAGCTCTAACAGTATCACAGTTTTAATTTTTTCCCGAGGTTTCCTACAGGTTAAGCAGACAAGTGAATACATTAACAGCTACAACCCTTGAAGAAAACAGGTTGTTCTTCACTGATCTAAAAAATTAGTAACTCTAAGACCATCAGCTTCTGGCAACAGGATGACTACGTTTAGCCACACCATCTCCCTGCCTGTCTTTATTAAATATTAAGGTAGACTTCAGCTGTAAATACTGAGGAAAAGACTTAAGTATTCTGACAGCTAAGTTCCTCTGTTTATTAAAAGACAACCATCTTCAGACAATTTATTTTTCTTCTTTTAAAATAATAATAAAAAAAGCCTAATTCTCTGTGCTAGAGATACAATATGCTTAACAGTAACTCTTCTGACTTCTCTCCTATTCAGTCCTTTGGTGAAAGTAAGTATCAGCTGCTGCTTGAATAATATTTCATCTGTGGTTTGGCTATAGGAAAAGGCTATTCAGGATCATATTATGAAGCTTCCTGTATGTCTCCACAGGAAAATAAATTTTAAGGAAAATACTCAGGAAACCTACAAAAGGAAAAAGATTAAATATATTTGGGAAATCTGCATGAATGATAAAACTGTATATTCCACACACACACACACACACCCCTCTCTCTCTGGCTGGCCTGCAGTGTTACAGTGATTTCTTTACTTGCAGTTTCTTAAAAAAATAATTTAAGAATTGTTAAGAATAAAAAAAAAACAGCACCACCACAACCAACACCCCCACAACACAAAACTTGGAAAACTAGATGAACTAAGATTTGCCTTCCAACTTAAGTAGCTTTCCTCTATTTCTGCTGACATTTCTACCTAACACTTCTTTCCCTGCTAAAAAAAAAAAACATAACTAGAGTTTTAAAAGCAGCAATAACACAACTACATGACCAACAGGTTAGAATAAAGCCAATACTTGCTTATGGCCTCAGCAAGATTTTGTGAATGCTCCTTCCCTGGCAGTATTACAGGCCAGGCTGGACAGAGCCTTGGGTGACATGGTCTAGTGTTAGGCATCCCTGACCACGGCGGGGGGGTTGGAATTAGATGGTCCTTTCCAACCCTAACCATTCTGTGATTCTATACTCAGCTGGCATGAAAACATAACTTAAATACTAAAACCAATGGAGTCTAATTAGAAAAATGACCTTTACGTAGATAACCAGCTTGTAGAGCAGCTGGGTGCTGGGAAAGATTCCTCAGAAGAAAACACTGGCAGCTGAAACTTCCTAGAAAGCATAGGAGCATTTAGCTTCTCCGAGTTCAGTGCACCCGAAAAAATGGGCTAGTAAAGGGGACAAGCCTAGGATGAGAACAAACAAACATAGGGTTTACTAACCGAATTGACTTTTATCTTTGCTCCTCCATCTCAGATCTTTGTCAGGTTGTATACCTAAAGGTGGTGCTGTGCAGATAGATTCCAACCCTAGCACCAAGCAATTTGTCTTAAAAGATCAGGCTGGCATCCTGACAGTATAGAATCACAACCACCTGATTTTTGACAGCTTTTCAACATTGAAAGTACATGAAAAGTACAATGTGACTCCTTCAGAAGAAAGGAGATTGTTTTTCTCATTCAAGAAGTTAGATTCTATCCGTTTGTATCATTTTCTACCCATCTACAAAAATACCCATGAAGAACAAAGGAGCAAACTGATGAGGACACAAGCTCAACAAGACCCAAGAAGAGAAAGAGCATCCTTACATGCTCTCACAGAACTTCGTAAGAGTGCTGGGCTTTTCCTGGTTGCGTCTTTGTCGAAACCAACGTTGAATGCTGCGTACATCCCAGTCCAGCTGCTTGGAGAGGCCCTCCAGCCTCTTCTCATCTGGATGCTACAGAACAGAGAAGGATAAACATTATGTCTTTACCCAACTGAAGTGAACCACTGTAATTGCCCCTTGATGTCTTACAAGCTGCCTGTTGGACACATGGATACAAAGAAATAAAATTACTTTCACAGAAATTTCTGCTTACAGATCCACATCAAAATAAGCTTACAGTGACTATTATTAATCTAGAAGGACATATGCTATAATATTGCAGGAGGTTATTACTATTAAGAAACTTAAGGAGGACAACGGCACAAAATCTTGCTTGAAACTAGGAAAATGATGAGAAGTAGTGATTGAATGCCATGAATTTCTCAGACAGTGGGGCTTTGAAACATCACCCTACCCCGCCGCAGGACACATGCTATGGCCTGCATCCCCTTGCATCAGGATCTTTGTCCTATAGATTGTTGCAGTAATGAAGATTATTTGACAGACATGGAAAGAAGATATATTCCATGTTTGTACATGTTCACATTAAAAAATATGAGGTCATTAAACAAAGTAGCAAATTCAAAAGGAAAATCACCTTGACAACAGGGAGAAATGATTTTTTTTTCCTGTAAAATTTGCTACACACAATTATTCTCCAAAGCAGCAAATGTGGAGCTCTCATTTTGTTAGAGTGGCTGTAAACCAGTGCAGATGTAAGGCAAAAGGCTATAGTTTGAACAGTATATGGAGAGGAGCAGTACAGGCCACACTTCCAATCACTCAGCAATTCTACGCATACAGTACTGCATGGGGACTATTTATCTATTTTCTCCTGATCACATTATTTTTTTAAGGAAACAGAAGAAGCTTTTGGACAATCCGTTTTCTGGAGTTTCAGCTTTATTTCTGCAAGCCAGTTACATACATTGAATGAGATACAAGAGCTGCCATTATAAAGACTTTTTTGAATGTTCCAAGAGGTAAAACAGCAAAGCTTTTGTCAGGCTGAAGATTCATCTATCGGCTTCCAGGAAAAGACAGGAAAGAAAGGAAATGGAAGGGAAAGGATGACAGAAGGGTAAAATATTTGTCATCCATCTCAGAAAAAAAAAAAAAAAAATGGTTTTCTTATCAACCCAAAGTAGCCACTATTTTATCAATGGAAGGTTAGGAAAAACCATTCTCTGTAACTTTAGAAAAATCTAGTCAGAGTTTGACTAGAGAGACCTGTTGCACGTGACTCAAAAAAAGACAGCTAGGTAAATCAGATGGTTTCCTTGAGAGCACCTACCAAACAGCCCTACCAAAACCTCACAGGAAAGCAGATACGTTCTTTGCGAGCGCTTTGCACTTGTCTCCATGCACTGGGTGCTGGGAACTGTGTGCCGGCTCCTAACATGACTCTCAGACTTTCACTTCACACACCCAGGCCCTGTGTTGGACTAGCAGATTCTGCAAGGAAAAATAAATTTAAATAAATAAATAAATAAATCCCATTTGTTCTTCCCTTAGCTGAGTCTGGGCCAGAGCACATGTGCTGCAGCTTTTAGAAACAAGGTTATGTGTGACTCCCTCCCTGAAAACAGGACATAAACCACAAGTGCCACAGTGATCTCAGAATAGGGTAGGAGACATGAGCAAGACAGATCCACAGCATATTTCACTGTTCCTGACACTGAACCCAACTTTGCCTAAGACTTTAATACTCTCTGAAGTTTAGGCTGATGCCTTTGCCATGGTGTGCTTAGCTTTAGCCTGAAGCCGAGGTGGCACTGGGAAGTTCCTGAAGAACTTCATCCTCCTGGCCTCCACAGGCCTTCCTGCTACAAAATGACCACTGACCACTGGGGTTTTCAGTGTTCCTACTGATCACTCATCTCATCACTGTTCACTGCTATGGAAAAGGTCAGGATGCTGCAGAAGCATGGACAGAGTTTTAGTTGAGATGTCATACAGTGAGAGTTGCAGAGACAGAGATAGCAGCAGCAGACAAACACTTGTACTGTGCAAAAAGGTAAAAGGTTTGCAAGCTTCAAAACATTATTTTTTCAGGTTCCCCACCACTTTTCTACCACCCCCTCTCTCCAAATTTCAAAGGACATTCATCACAACATAAACAGCTAGGACACCAGCAAGCCACCATCATCCTGTGCTCAGGCACCTTCCCTAGAAGGAACAGCTTTGAAATTTCATGGAAAACAGTAAGGCAAATCTTACTGACTCACAATTCTCTTTCTTTTACTTAAGGGAGAAAAAAAACAACAACAACAAAAAAAAAACAACCAAACCAAACCAAAAACCCCAAAAAAAAAAAACCCACAAAAAATAAACCAACAAAAAAACACCCCAAAAAACAACACCCCAAAACCACTCAAAACCAAAACCACACAAAGCCATCGAAAAACCCAGAATGTTTTTTTTGGGTTTTTTTTTTTTTTTTAGTTTTTAAAAGATAAACAGCAAAACAAAGTAGGTGGCCATATGGCACCTACACAGTATAACAACTCTGTTTTGTTTAAAAGCTTACAGGAAACATCACAAAGGGATGCACAACTGTTCCAACTGGCATACAATAACAACCTTGACATTTCCATGGTCAGCTTTTAGCTGTAAAAATGCATCACTACATTTAGCAGTTAGCTTTGTTTTATTCAGCTATGGTTTATAGTTCTGTATCCCATTTTATAAGGTTAATATTACAATTAAATACTCCACCTTTGTAATAGCTGTGAAAACTTTTTCCAGAATAGCATTAGGTTGAGCTTTCTGTGGTCCGTTGGCTTGGACTTTAAGGCCTAAGGCACATGGTTTAGCAATGAACCTGTGAAAAACAGAAGAATGAAAAAAGGAAATAAGCTAAATCCTTCAGTTATTTACTCCATTACTGTTATCAATCAATTATGTGCAGTAAACACCCAAATATTATAACTCCCCCAACAAAAACAATACTTAGCCTTACAGCTCAGAAGTAGGCTCATAGACAGAATTTCATTGCAAAGTAACATCACTTTGAAGGATGAAAGAAACTCTGCGGAGCACATGAAACACAGGATTTTCTTTCATGTTGTAAAAGAGAAAAGACAGAACAAAAGCATGAGACAAATGCCTCCTAGAGAAGCACCAACTAATCAAAAGAGCAGGGCAGCTTGCAGAGATGAAGAGCATGTAATATTCTCCATACAGAGCCTTTTTCATAAATTGGTTTCCAGAGTAGCTACTGCCTCGGGACTCCTTTTGCACAGTGGAAATTCAAACCAAGTCCTTAAAGGCAGTAAGCACTTAAGCTTCCCAGTCAATACAATTTTCTAAACGATAAAGTTTAAACGGTGTTGAGCCATGCCTCAAAGTCTTTGCTCTTCCTCCAAACTCTTCTGCTAAAATATGAAGCTGTCACAGATCCAAACACTCATCCATAAATTCATCCAGTTTACAAACTGGGTGTCTCTGGTACATTTTAAGCACTGTTTCAAGCTACAACTGCCGTTTCTGCTACATTTAAGACAGCACACTTGATTAAAGAGAATTAAGCCCTATGCAATGTCACAGTGGTTACAGCAAAAGCATTTGGTAAAGAAAAATGGATGATGCCAGACCACCTTGTTTTTCCAAGAAAGAATTCTTGGTACACTGATACTATTCCCACATGAAAGCCAGTTCTAAAGCCTGAAATAATTTTTGGTGACTATTTGCAAGGTGAGTGGGAAGTCATATATCCAGACACATGCAGTGTATCAGTAAGCTTGTTATTTGATCCTTGTATGTTACAAGAGAAAAAAAAAAACACCACAAAACAACTTATTACTTATTTTTTTGCAGTCTGGATTGGCAGTAGATTGCAACTGTACTGCTAGCTCCATAGCATCAACCTAACCAATGGCACTGCACAAGGTATAAATTCACCACTTTAGGGTTAAGAGCTTTGGCGATACCAGTTTCACTGAGGAACGTGAGAAGAAAGCAGTCCAGGTTTCTGCTCAAGAAACAGAAGCATATAAACTCTGTACATGTTATATGTACATACACTGTAATCTAGCCACACTGGAAATTTGAGTGTACAAGGTGACAAAAGAAGCAAGAATTGTGTTGTCTGGTTCAACATGGACATAACCATACTGGTCATTGCTGTTAGGTGATAACCAAAACGTAGCTGAAGAAGCTAAGAAAATGCTCATGGGGTTTGATTTCAGAAATTTAGTTTTTAATTCTAAGAAGTTGTAAAACACTTCTACTCATGTAACAGAGGGGCTGAGATTCTTAGCATCTATGTCGATGTTTTGTACCAGAAAGCCAAAAACCACTCAAAAGTTCCAGTCTTCACTACTGAAGAAATTAAATTTCCTGAAGAAAACGCAATAGAGCCAAAAAGCGGAGCCTAAGTCAGACTTTAAAGGGGATGTCAAACAGTGTTCAAGTTAATTTTACAAAGCCTTATAGGAAACACTCTAAAAGTAGAGACAGGGCAGAGGAGTGCTGTAGGTAGAACAAATAAAAGAAATTAAAGACAACTTTATCAGCTTCAGGCATTCAAGGAAGAACCCAAGCTCAGCCTTAACCACCACCAGCAAGATCAAGAAACATTCGCTAAATAGACACAAAATAAAACTTGTTTCACATGGATTTTCTGAGCACTTGCAAAGTCAGTCTCCTCTGAAGTAAGACTTGATTTGGGAATTTTGTCTGTTTATAGGGTATGGGTTTTTTTGTTTGGTTGGTTGTGGGTTTTGGGGTTTTCTGGGGTTTTTATGTGGTGTTTTTTTTTTTGTTTGGTTTTAAATGCCTGTATCTTTCAACTGCTGTTTTGTTTTTCTCCTTCTGCCAAGCAAAGGAATGACAGAGCCATGCTATAGCTCCAATAGAAAGGCAGTTCCCTAAACATGCCAATTGAAAAGAAGAAAAGAAAAGAAAAGAAAAGAAAAGAAAAGAAAAGAAAAGAAAAGAAAAGAAAAGAAAAGAAAAGAAAAGAAAAGAAAAGAAAAGAAAAGAAAAGAAAAGAAAAGAAAAGAAAAATAATTTGGTAAAATCAAAATCAGATTAAAACGTCCAAGTTAGAAAAATTCCACAAGGAGCAATTCCAACAAGCTTCATGCTGAGCTGATCTTCATTTAAATCTAAGCAAATCAGCTAAGTCTGCTTAAACGCCATTCTTAAAATGACATGCATCACTAATGAACAGCCTAGATAAATCCAGGACAAAGCACAGTGTTTGCCTAGATTTTAAAAACAGAAGAAAATTTTTATATTGATATTATACTCATTACCTAAAACAAAACACATTTTCTGCTTCTGGTATTTATTTAACAACAATATAATTACTTATTTTTTCTTCCTCTGCTGCTTATGCTTTTCACATGCACTGGAGGAATGGGCATATGTCCATAAGGACAACAAAGCACAGTAAGTACATGTATAGGGAATGCAGCTGCAATACACAGGATGATCTTGGCCAGTTACGTCAGGGAGGAAAGGACAGGGAAAGCTTAAAAAAGCCCACAAAGGTCTGATATGCTTTTGTGATATGCTACTGATATGCTTTTGTGGTCCTTCTCCACATCTGAAAAAAAGCTTTAAAAAGAATTCCCTCAGGTGATTGTTAATTCCTATTAGGACATTCAAGGAAAATAAAGCAATTTCAACAGAAACCTTTTATATGCCTGCAATACTGAGCAGGTCTGACCACCAACTCAGGTGTGCAAAAGCCAAGTCCACATGATTGCCTTTGGTGGAACTGGTAAAATTTAAGAGATATTTTTTACTTTTCATACAAAAACTTAATAAATTCAAGCCATATTTTGCAATATAAAAATTGGTTTTCAAGGTTAAAATATAACTTTAAAATAGAATTCAATCAATAGGATCGCAAATGTCGCACCAGGTGTCATAAAAAGCATAATTAACATAATTCTCACTAACAGTTTTCCATAATAAACAGATTCATAAGTAAACAAAGCAGAATTAATGCTTGATACATGTACAAACTATGAGCATTTTGCCAAATGTTGCACTTCTTAAAAGCGCTATTCATTTTTTCCATTTCTGCTAATGCTGTGCAATTCAGTTCCCTAAGCAGTCTTACTGAAACCCACGGGACTATTTATTGCATAAGGTACTGCAATTAAGAGGGAATAACAATTGTGAAAGAGTAAAGTGAGCAAAATCGAGTATATTGCCAGCTTTTCTCTTTAAAACATGTAAATCTGAACAACGCCACACTAGTATTTATTTTTTTCAGTGGATTCCAATACAGCTGAACTGAAAGCTGATATTCAATTACACAGAAATTAAGGACAAGCACATTCTGCTGAATGCAGCCCCATCTATTCTGGATCTAGAAACGAAAGACTAACATAAACAAGGGAATTAAACTCAGAATTCAAGAACCTTTTTAAAGGCAGCTTCTTCATTCACAGTCTAAAGCCACATTTAAAAACAAAACCAATCCAAAAAGCCCACAGCCAGCCAGTTCAGGCAACGTAGGTTACTGCAGAGCATTGGAGTGGGAAGCACTCTGTCTCTGCAGGCCCATAAATACTGCCCCCTTTGCCTGCAGACAAACATCTCTGAGTGTTCCATGCCCCTGAAGGCAGGTGCTAGTTTGCATTCTGGATTTTGTCTGTTTTTTCTCAAATCCATTATTTACAACAGCAACAGCTTGACCTTACACTCCACCTCAAACTCAGAGGTCAGCTTCTCCTCTAAAAAGGGGTCAAGAAACCCTTTACAAAATGATCCCCCAACTCGCCTACAGCATTAAAAGAAGTACTATTTCACCAGAAGTATGCAAATTTGTTCACAAACAAGCACCATTTTGGGTTTCTCACTTGTCCTTTAACAAACGCCAACTAGACAAAGACAGTGGCTATTACAACAGATGGCAGGCAGAAAAAGAATTTAAAAAAAAAAAAACAAAACCCAAACCCACAAAAGAAAACCAACAACCAAAAAAAACCCAAGCTGTACCAAAACCCACCACCAGCACCATCACAACAATAAAAGAAGGAAATTAAAAATTGCTGTGGTGGAGGAAGGTATTAAGTGATCACAGCAGATGCTGTGCTGCATAGACTGAGAGGAGGATACCCCATGGCCATCAGCCCTGGCAAAAACAAAACCCTAAACCTGCAGACTCTTCAGAAGCCATTCCCAATACCCCACGCTAAATGTCTAATTCCTCACATTCATAAAATTACAGCTTAAAAATATGCTGGCTCCACTTCCTGGGAACTCCACACCCTGTGAAAGTTTCTCTTTAGAAATATGAATAGGTCAGATCTGCCATAAGCACGAACCATTGTGGGCACATAACTGCAGTATCACTGATAAAATAACCTTCAATGAAAGAGCAAGGAAAATGCCCCCTCTAACTCACAGAGCACTTTCTGTTCTCCTTTAATGGCTATTTGAACCTCACTAATTAATTACCATGTAACCTTTTACTTTACTGCTTTTCATCTTGACAAACTGCATAATTTTAATCCTGGAATTAACTAGAAATGGCAGTGTTGACCCTCAATAATACTTGGAGGCTGATGTTTATTAGCACTAGCAAATTCTGCGTTAAACAAACATTTTTTCAAAGTATCGCATTAAGGAGGAAGAGATAATTTTTGCATCTTTTTAATTTTGGTCAGAAACTAATACATAGCAACTCCTTAGTCATCTGGGGCACTGGAAATATGGGCACTCTTACGTCACACGAATGCGGCATTTCCATACCAGCAAGTCATCTCCCATTTCTGAGCTGACCACAGTGGATGCCCTTTAGCAAATCCATGCCTGAATTTCCCAGCAGCTCTGCAGATGCTCAACCACCACAGAGCCCAC